CCACCCTCGCCTCACCCTCCCGCCGCCTCGCCGCTCGCTTGCTCGCTCGCGCGCCCGCTCGCGCCTGGCTTTCTACCTCCTCGTGATCGCCCGAATCTCTCCTTCCTCGTGATCCACCCTCGCCTCACCCTCCCGCCGCCTCGCCGCTCTCGCTCGCCGTTCGCTCGCCCGCTCCCGACTTTCTACTTCCTCGTGATCCATCTCGCCGCCCGCTCGCTCGCTCGCGCTCGACCTCCTACTTCCTCGTGATCCACCGCCGCCACCCTCGCCACCGCCACCTTCTCGCCGCTCGCTCGCCCGCTCGCGCTCGACCTTCTACTTCCTCGTGATCCACCCGCCGCCACCCTCGCCTCACCCTCCCGCCACCTAGCCGCCCGCTCGCCGCTCGCTCGCCCGCTCGCGCTCGACCTCGCCCCACCCTCCCACCGCCTAGCCGCTCGCTCGCCGCTCGCTCGCACGCCCGCGCCAGACCTCCTACCTCCTCGTGATCCGCCCGCCGCCACCCTCGCCTCGCCCTCCCGCCGCCTAGCCGCTCGCTCGCCGTTCGCTCGCCCGCTCGCGCCAGACCTTCTACCTCTTCGTGATCCGCCCGCCGCCACCCTCGCCTCACCCTCCCGCCGCCAAGCCGCTCGCTCGCCGTTCGCTCGCCCGCTCGCGCCAGACCTTCTACCTCCTCGTGATCCGCCCGCCGCCACCCTCGCCTCGCCCTCCCGCCGCCTAGCCGCTCGCTCGCTCCTATCCGTGCCACCCTATCCGTGGTCCCGCCGCCACCGCGCCATCCTCGCTCCTTCCTGCCGCCGCCCTCTGCTCAGTCGTTCGACCCGCCGCCCAATGCTCCGCCGTTCGCTGCCGTGGTCTGCCGCCGTGCCGCCGCTCCTTACCGTGCCGCTCCTTCCGCGCCTCGCCGCCCTTGCCATTTATTCGCCGTCCCTCCTGCCGTGCGTTACCGCCGTGCCGCCGTACCGCCGCTCCTACAGTGCCGCGCCGCCTCCCACGCGCACACACCTTACCTCCTGCTCGACCGAGTTTGCGATGAGAAGTGACCCGAGCCGCCGGGTGCCCCGCAGCGGCCTCGCTGGACCAGAAGAACCGGTCCGCGAGTGCTCCGCAGCAGCCTCGCTGAGCCAGAACGTCGGCTCGCGAGGTGGGGTGCTAGTATGAGCCCGATCCGTCGTAGAGTTCTTGCGCTTCGGCGGTTAGTGGTGCACTAACCTCCGAGAAACCCTTCGGGTCGCTCCTCATCGCAAACCCTGTCAGCAGAGTCTCCTACGGGAATGTACGTAAGAGCTACATACACTGAAAAATGGACGTATTCGGTATAAAATTTTCTTCGCTCCGCGAATTCACAGAGTAGGCCGCCGACTCTCAAATCGCCACCACGCAGGGGTCTTCGCAGGGATTTCACGCCGGATTGCGAATCGATTTTTTTCTGCGGTGCAGCATGCGGTGCACACACACACAACCGCCTCCACCAGTCACCTCGTGCTCCTCCCTATGACACTGTTGCCTAGCGAGAACCCTCTGCCGCTCGCCGCCGGCGTCGCGCTGGCGTTTGCGCTGGCGTGGCGGCATTACTCGCGCACAGTCGCAAAGCATGTCGCGGCGCTGGAAGCGCTCAGCAAGCGCGTCGAGCAGCTGGCGCCAGAGTTGAGGTCCGAGCCGTCGGACGGCGGCCTGCAGGCTCCGATCCAGAGAGAGGCGCCTGTCCGCCGGACGCCCAGTGCTTTTTCGCCCACCATCCTCCCGGCGGAGGGCGGGCGCGTGAGTGCGTCCGAGCAGCAGACGGCTGCGCTGTGCGTGGTCGTCTTTGGCGCCATCAACATGGACGTCAAGGCGACTGCCGAGGTGTCGACCTGGCCGGAGCACGACGTGTCCTGCAAAGGGCGCTTCGAGCAGTCTGCGGGCGGCAAGGGCGCCAACGAGGCGGTCGCCCTCGCGCGGCTCGGCGTCCCCGTCTCGCTCGTCGGCCGAGTCGGCGACGACGAGAGCGGCAGCTTCTTGCTCTCCGCGCTGCGGAGCGAGCGCGTCGATGTGGGTGGGACGCTGCGGCTCGGGAGGACGGGGACGGCGGTGCACATCGTCACCAAGGACGACTCGCGCAAGTTCAACGTCACCTGCCTCGAGGCGAACGGCGAGCTCGAC